TGTTTTTGACTTGTAAAACGAGGATGTCGAGTAGAATATGCTGTGAAAATGTAGAATATGGCCATTTTTCCTCTAATTCTGTTTTTTTCCCTCCAAATTCAATTTTTTTCGATTACCCCCCCCCCCCCCCCCCCCCCCCACCCCCCGAAAAAAAAATCTGTTCCCTCCCATTGTACTTTTTTTGGATTACTTTTTAATTATATTTATTTTTTCTGATATCATGAAATTCATACAATTAAACAGAAATTTATGAAAGTTTTATTTTCCCACAAATTCCGTTTTTTTTTACTTTGTGTTTTTTTTTACTGGTTAAATTTAAATGTAATAATCAAAAGCATGTGTAATTAATTGAAATCAGTAAAATTGTACAATTCAATAAAAAATTATTAAAGTTTTAACATTTTAGGACCCCATGAAATCCGTTTTATTTTCCCCCAAATTCTGTTTTTCTTCATTTACATTTTTCTGTATTGTCCACCCCCCAACCAATCATGAAACTTATACAATTCAGCAATTTATTCAAAGTTCAACAAAAATAAATCTCTTTTTATTTATTTTTCTCAAATTCAGTTTTTTATTAAAATTCTTCATTTTCAAAATTTCTGGATTCCGTTTTAATGGTTAAAAAAATAAATCTAATAATCAAAAAGCATGGCTAATTAATGGAAATCAGGAAACATGCAATTCAACTTTTTTTTCTTTTTTTTAGGTGAACAAAAATGACTTTTTTAGAGTCTTAAGAAATCCTTTTTTTATTTATTTTTTTTATTCTGTTTTATCGTTCTCAAATTCAGTTTTTTTCATAAAAAAAATTCTGGATTCTGTTTTAATGGTCCAGTTGTCTAATCAATAGAATTAATTTGAAATCACAGGGCCCTATATACCTGTAAGACCCGAGTGTGTGTGTGTGTGTGTGTGTGTGTGTGTGTGTGTGTGTGTGTGTGTGTGTGTGTGTTTTCTCTGAAAGTTTCCTTGCAAACAAGAGTTATTGCTTTGACTTTATTCCCTGTTGGATTTAGGGAGGGTTTTTTTTTGTTTTTTTGCTGAAGGTAAACAAGTGTTCAAGTTGAAGTTTCGGTTGGGTTTCAGTGTTAAAGTCCGCTGACGTTCGGCCGGGTCTCCTGTACGACACACACACACACACACACGATCCTGCGGGAAACACTGATTCACTCTGTCTGATGGAATGGCAGGAATTTCCATTTGCGGGACTGATAAAGACTCGGGAGTTTTTCCACTCGGAGAGCGAATCCAGAGAGGAATGCAGACGTCTCTCTCACACACACACACACACACACATTCATCACGATGCATTGGCACATCAGAGCAGAAAACAACCTTAACACAATATTTGTCTAAGGCACAGCGGCAATTTAAAGATCTTATCAAACAGCTTTTAATATTTGTTCTGGTTTCTTCAGTTGATCTTGAAGTGCTCGTCGTCTTTGTTCAGGTTTGTGTTTTAGTGCGAATGTACACCGCCGTTCAGAAGTTTTGGATCGGTAAGATTGTTTATGTTTTTGAAAGAAGTCTCTTCTGCTCACCAACGCAGCATTTATTTGATAAATACAACAAAAAACAGCAATATTGTGAAATATTATTACAATTTAAAACGGCTTTCTATTTACACCCACACACACACCTGTGACCGCATTACATTAGTGTTACACACACACACACACACCTGTGACCGCATTACATTAGTGTTACACACACACACACACACACACACCTGTGACCACATTACATTAGTGTTACACACACACACCTGTGACCGCATTACATTAGTGTTACACACACACACACACACACACACCTGTGATCACATTACATTAGTGTTACACACACACACACACACACACACACACACACACACACACACACACACACACACACACACACACACACACCTGTGACCGCATTACATTAGTGTTACACACACAAACACACCTGTGACCGCATTACATTAGTGTTACACACACACACACACACACACCTGTGACCGCATTACATTAGTTACACACACACACACACACACACCTGTGACCACATTACATTAGTGTTACACACACACACCTGTGACCGCATTACATTAGTGTTACACACACACACACACACACACCTGTGACCGCATTACATTAGTGTTACACACACACACACCTGTGACCACATTACATTAGTGTTACACACACACACACACACCTGTGACCACATTACATTAGTGTTACACACACACACACACCTGTGACCGCATTACATTAGTGTTACACACACACACACACACACACACACACCTGTGACCGCATTACATTAGTGTTACACACACACACACACACACACACACCTGTGACCGCATTACATTAGTGTTACACACACACACACACCTGTGACCGCATTACATTAGTGTTACACACACACACACACACACAGACACACCTGTGACCGCATTACATTAGTGTTACACACACACACACACACACACACCTGTGACCGCATTACATTAGTGTTACACACACACACCTGTGACCGCATTACATTAGTGTTACACACACACACACACACACACCTGTGACCGCATTACATTAGTGTTACACACACACACACACACACACCTGTGACCGCATTACATTAGTGTTACACACACACACACACACCTGTGACCGCATTACATTAGTGTTACACACACACACACACACACACCTGTGACCGCATTACATTAGTGTTACACACACACACACACACACACACCTGTGACCGCATTACATTAGTTACACACACACACACACACACACACCTGTGACCACATTACATTAGTGTTACACACACACACCTGTGACCGCATTACATTAGTGTTACACACACACACACACACACACCTGTGACCGCATTACATTAGTGTTACACACACACACACCTGTGACCACATTACATTAGTGTTACACACACACACACACACCTGTGACCACATTACATTAGTGTTACACACACACACACACCTGTGACCGCATTACATTAGTGTTACACACACACACACACACACACACCTGTGACCGCATTACATTAGTGTTACACACACACACACACACACACACCTGTGACCGCATTACATTAGTGTTACACACACACACACACACACACCTGTGACCGCATTACATTAGTGTTACACACACACACACCTGTGACCACATTACATTAGTGTTACACACACACACACACACCTGTGACCACATTACATTAGTGTTACACACACACACACACCTGTGACCGCATTACATTAGTGTTACACACACACACACACACACACACACACACCTGTGACCGCATTACATTAGTGTTACACACACACACACACACACACACCTGTGACCGCATTACATTAGTGTTACACACACACACACACACCTGTGACCGCATTACATTAGTGTTACACACACACACACACACCTGTGACCGCATTACATTAGTGTTACACACACACACACACACACACACACACACACACACCTGTGACCACATTACATTAGTGTTACATACACACACACACACACACCTGTGACCGCATTACATTAGTGTTACATACACACACACACACCTGTGACCGCATTACATTAGTGTTACACACACACACACACACCTGTGACCGCATTACATTAGTGTTACACACACACACACACACACACACACCTGTGACCGCATTACATTAGTGTTACACACACACACACACACACACACACACACCTGTGACCGCATTACATTAGTGTTACATACACACACACACACACACCTGTGACCGCATTACATTAGTGTTACATACACACACACACACCTGTGACCACATTACATTAGTGTTACACACACACACACACACCTGTGACCGCATTACATTAGTGTTACACACACACACACACACACACACACACACACACCTGTGACCACATTACATTAGTGTTACACACACACACACACACACACACACACACACACCTGTGACCGCATTACATTAGTGTTACACACACACACACACACACACACACACACACACACACACACACCTGTGACCGCATTACATTAGTGTTACACACACACACACACACACACACACACACACACACACACCTGTGACCACATTACATTAGTGTTACATACACACACACACACACACCTGTGACCGCATTACATTAGTGTTACATACACACACACACACCTGTGACCGCATTACATTAGTGTTACACACACACACACACACCTGTGACCGCATTACATTAGTGTTACACACACACACACACACACACACACCTGTGACCGCATTACATTAGTGTTACACACACACACACACACACACACACACACCTGTGACCGCATTACATTAGTGTTACACACACAAACACACCTGTGACCGCATTACATTAGTGTTACACACACACACACACACACACACACACACACACACCTGTGACCGCATTACATTAGTGTTACATACACACACACACACACACACCTGTGACCACATTACATTAGTGTTACACACACACACACACACACACACCTGTGACCTTATTACATTAGTGTTACATACACACACACACACACACACACACACCTGTGACCACATTACATTAGTGTTACACACACACCTAACAACGCCCCTTAGCTACTCTAAATCCACTGTATTCGCGGAGCTATCCCTTTAACAGGTGCATATTAATTATGACACTTGTGTTTCAGTGCTGCTCTATTACTGTGAAGCTGCTTCGAAGCAGTCTCTACTGTATAAAGCGCTATAGAAATAAAGCTGACTTGACAAATTTGTAACTCAATTTGCCTACAAATCTTCATTTAATCATTTCAACTGAAAACTTTCCATCAAAAGATCATGAGAAGCAAACATTTATGACTAGCCATGTGGTTACAGTACATGTAACTCCTCAAGGTCTGCCAGTACAGGGAAGTGTGTGTTTGTTCAGGTGATTTCATGATGCGTGTGTGTGTGTGTGTTTCAGTGTGTGAGGGACATGAGAGAAGAGTCCAGCGGCTCTCACGACAACAGCCTGATGGGAGAAG